CTGAAATACAAATCTGCATTTGATGTTAATGAGAAATATGAAAATATCTGACCTCCCATACTTCCATTGTACAGGTACCATCTAGTACTAGTATAGATAATATCATATTTAATTATATTATTAATACTTTTATTTTATAACTGATGACATTCTAATGCATCTTTCAATTACACAAAAATATGAATAATAGAATGAAAAGAATACATTTTAGGGATAATCATAATAATGGACTTGTTGATGAGAAATTAATAATTAAACTAGCCTACTATAAAGTAGAAATTTAGTTGATTTTATAGAATCTGTTAATTTCATAAAATACTTACTAATACAAGGCTACTTAAATTTTTATCATGATACAATACATTATGTATAAATAAAAAGAACTATTTTATATTGACCTAAGTAAAAGATGTGTACCGTTAATATATAATAAATTATGTAATACTTAATTATCTCTGGTTTTGTAAGTATACTGTACTGTATAGAGCATAGACCAAAGCAGGAAAGTAGTCTACTTTTTAGTTTTAAAACTAGTAGGCCTAAATTACTCTTACAATATCTTGTCTAAGTAAGACTGACTGATGTGATTAGTCCAGGGATGGCAAACCAGGGAAAATTACCCCAAATGTGTTAAAAAAATAAAAATCTTGGGGGTACTGGGGGCTCAATAGATATACAAAAATTATATTTAAAGCTTATTACTTTATACTTATAGAGAATAATTTTTTTCTGGCAACACTGCAACTGAACAGTGTAATAAGGAATGCACCTAATTGTCCTAATGTCTAATGTAAAATTATTATTTTACAGTCAGTGGAGATACTAGAGTGAGTGTCACCCAGTGTGGTAAATTCGTGGCATTATCTCTTCTGACTAACTCTGGTGACACTCTGTTCTCAGATGGCAACCTCCTCTTATTAATATTATTATGGCTGCGACTATTCCCACCCAGTTACCAGAAGTGAGAGGTTGGGATTAAAAAACTGGCTGTTTCAGATTGAGCGGCCCACGACGACTTTGTTTTGGATTCACTCCCCTTATTTTTTGGGGGTTTTTTTGTTAAAAAGAGTTACATTTTCGGAATTAAAATTTTATTGGTTGATTAATTATAATTTTAAAATTTTGATTGTTTGGCTCATTATCATTTTTTATTTGGTTGCGCCATCTTTGATATCTTTGGGGTGCCTGTGAGATGTGGAGATTTATTCATTTTGTGACTATATTTGCGTTGGAACCTGAAATAAAGTGTTTAAAAGTGTATTTCATGAAACTGTAAGTTGGATTTTCATCATTTCTTTATGTTATAATTATTTTGGGTATTTTTTGGTTAATTTTTATCGTTTTCTTGCCACATTACGTAAATTCCATGTGTTTTTACTAGTGGCTTTAGGCGTAGGATTTAGGGATCGATTTTGATTTAGGGTTCAGGTTAGGCATAGGGATAGATTTAGTGATTTAGGGTTCGGGTTAGGCATAGGGATAGATTTAGTCATTTCGGGTTAGGCATAGGGATAGATTTAGTGAGTTAGGGTTTGGGTTAGGCATAGGGATAGATTTAGTGATTTAGGGTTCGGGTTAGGCATAGGGATAGATTTAGTAATTTAGGGTTCGGGTTAGGCATAGTCATAGGGATCGATTTAACCCATTTTTTTTCATAAATTTTTAACGTTTTCTTCCTAATTTTAGCAAACATGAGTTATTTTATTTTTCCATGGCCGCCATCTTGGTTGCCTCGACCCGTGAACACGTAAAAGTGCGCGGGTCGAGGCAACCAATATGGCGGCCATGGAAATAGACTCGGGCCGCTTTCTCTGAATTTACCAAAAAACTATTTTAAATATTATTGTTGGGTTTGTAAGACAAAATGGGGTATCGAAAATGAAAGATAATTGAATGGACTATATGTTTGTAAACTTAATTCTTCAGTTTAAGTAAAATAAACTACCGTAACACAAATGACACCCGAAAAGCATTTTCATTTAGAAGTGGCTATTCGGACCCGGGTCCGAGAAGTTAGAGTGGGATTAAAATTTTAACAAAAATATATTATATATTATTGCTAGTCAAACGTCTTAATCTATATCTAAATCAATCTAAAAGTAGTGTCAAGTCATCTGTCTTTAGCTAGATTATGCAAAGAAGGAGATTGCATTCCATTATCCTAATTTATGTTACTCATTCATACTTATTGGGAAAATATTGCTTTTGCGCTATGAAATATTATACCGCTACAGTGAGTTTCCTGCGTCGTAAGTTTACTTTTAAAAATAAAACTGCAAAAACTTCTTGATTTCCGGTGGGGCGGTGTACCACATTTGATGATAACTGGAAATAAAAAGTACCGGGGTATAACACGACCGTCTAATAATACTAATATTCTTATTTCGAACACACCTATAACAACGTTGGTCTTCATATTTAATCTAATACTTTGCAGGTAGACTGGGAAAAGTTCATGGTGTCGTTCAATGGGGAACCTCTCTGACAAATACTGAAATAACTATTATTTTTTTAAATTTAATACTGTGACAAGTATATTTATTCATTAATTGTAAAATATAAACAGTAGCCTATAATGATTACAGTGGCTCCTAAGCAGCCCGAGTTCAGATGTGTCACGTTAGCCCTACATCCCCGGCGGCTGCTGGGGGGAGGGGGAGGGGCGCTCGGATGTTTAAGGCAGGGGATCACAGTTGTGATCTTGAAAAATAAATGATACAATTAATTTTGAATGAATTGAATCTAAGGGGGCACAAACCAAAAAGTGTCTGCAGAAGACCAAAAGTAACGCAACGTCTCTGCCCGCAAGTTCTTAGTTGACAAGTAGATTTTTTTTAAAAATTAACAAGAGTTACAAGAGAAAGAAAATGCTATCAAATTTTGTGAAGCGTGAAATGTAGGTATTTAATTATGAGTAGTAAAATAGGTCGGCACTCTCCTTGGCAAATTGTACAGCTAAATAACCTTATTTGCCTTATTTCCATGCGGCATTTTAGAATACATAGAAATAACTTATTATTATATAACTTATTCATGAACATTTTTAAACACATAGGCTTTCGTTTATGGAAATCTGAAGTGCAGCAAATGAGTCAATATAATTTTCTGAGAAGTTTAAAAAAAATGGTTTTGTTGTAAAGGACCGTGCACATATTATATAACGCGAAAGGGGTGGGCGTTGGTTTATCATTTTGTTATATTGTGTTATATGAGGTGGGTGGTGGTAGATAGTCATGTTATATTGTGTTATGTGGGTTTGGGTGGTAGATAGCAATTTTATATGGTTTTATACTTATCTATATGTTGTAGGTCAAAAAATGATTATATTATTGATTATTGGGCCGAAACATTGAGTACCCACCACCACTGACATTTTATTATTCGTAACCAGGCAACTGACTTGCCGCTCAGATACTTTTCTCCGGTTAATCACGTGAGAACGTTTGACCCGTGCCTCGCTATGGGGCACCCTTTGTTATTCTGATCTATGATATAGTGTTTGCTAAATAATTAAAAATAATATTTATGAGATATATGTTCCGTTATTGTTGCGGTACATTTGTGTTGCCAATCTCTACGTGCGCTGTCTTGCTCAGACAAAGGCAAGATTTTTTTTTTTTTTTTTTTTATAAAAAAGAAAAAATTTTTTTTTTTTTTTTTTGCTTTGTCTCTCTCATTAATTCAGCGTAGTCTAACCACGCGTGAAAGGAAAAAAAAATGTCAGATTTGGCATTACAAACAACAGTGAATTCCTAATTAAAAATAATATTTTTGATGTATATGTTCCGTTATTGTTGCGGTTCTTTTGTTTTTCCAATCTCTACGTGTGCTGTATTGCTCAGACAAAGGCAAGATTTTTTTTTTTTTTTGCTTTGTCTCTCTCATTAATTCAGCGTAGTCTAACCACGCGTGAAAGGAAAAAAAAATGTCAGATTTGGCATTACAAACAACAGTGAATTCCAAGATTCATTACGCTCATATCACATGACTTCTACATATCTAATGAAAGTAGATACTTGTACGTAAAATATACTGGTACCCGGTACATCGTTACCACTTGAAAAAAACTGTTTAGTTGACCACTGTTTACTTTACTGCTTTTATACACTGTTTAGTTTACTAAATACTGACCGATGTTTTTCTAGCCAATAATGACGGCATTCCTATAAGACACATGACAGACGGAGTGCTATAGGCTATATCTCAGAGATTTTGCACCGGCCATCTCCAGGAAAATATTACAAAGAACCTAAAATATCAGTGAAGGGACAAAAATCTCCATGCAGTGAGAAAATTGAAATATTTGGGCAGTAACAATAGATGATGAGATTAATAACCGAATTTCCAAAGCAAATGTTACATTCGGAGTGCTCCGCAACGCGCTTGCAGGGCCAAGTGGTCTCAGTCTTGTGACCAAGCTTTTAACTCTGTGTAGCCCTGATTAAACAAAACGATTTATCGTTATATGTCTAATGGTAAAGGAAATGTTTCGAAATAAAAAGGGGAGCGCTGTAAAAAGGTTAAGAACCCTAAATACATTGTATTAGTATGAGCGTTTTTATAAAATGCCGGCTTTTACACTTGGGCGGTGATGAAGTAATACGGCATACGATAATTAGTTGACTCACACTAACCACTTCCTGTTTTTATGAAAAAATAATTAAAAATGTTATTCTAGCGTCATAAAATGAAATAGCGTAATTTTTTAATTGCATGTAAATGTTTTTAAAAGATAAACTGATTATTTATTTTTATTGAGAGCTCATACTTTTTACGCAACATTTACAATTTGCACATTATCATGATTTTTTTGTGATTTAATCGTCAACATCCGGTAGACGACAGCCGAGCCGACAGCTAGTCAATATTATTTATAATAACTCACTCGCTAAATTCAGTTATTTCAAATTCTTTATAAAAATAAGCTTCAAAAGTAATCTATTTTGTAATAGATTAAAATAATATCATAATTTTTCACCACATTAGTCCAGACACGCTACTTTGAGTAGAACTTAACACATAACTTGAATATGAATAATAATTAATAATATAATAAAATATAATAGTTATTATTATTATTTAAAAGATCTATGACCATCCACGTTGGACCCAAGACGTCGTAGGCTTGGCATTCAATCAATAATTTCATTTGAATTCAAAGTTGCTTCAACAAGTAATCAAATTCTTTGTTGATGAGCAGTAGCAGCGTCCAGACTCACCATTTTACTTTTTAATTTTAAGGTAATTACTACATTAGTAATTAGACTTAGACATTAGTTACAGTTAAGTGAAGTTAAGTCCATAGTATAGACATAGGCCTAGGCACTAAATATTTAAATATCACTATAATATACTACAGTACATTTATATAATTATGCGTCATCCTTTTTGAGATGATGGAGTGGCTATTGATCATTGACACTTCATCAAAAGGTTTATGATTATGACTTTATTAGGTAGTTCGGTAAGATCCGGGAAGTGCCGAAAACCGGGTATTGTGATTTTGTTGTCAAAATGCGACCTCCACTTTTTAAGTAACAGAGAGTCACGTTGTTTACGACTTTTTAACTATTTATAGCCCAGCATGTAAATTTTATTTCCACCCACAACTTAGAGTAGACATGTTGTCTTGAGTCCCCCAAAAAATTTTGTGGGCCTCACTTTGAAAATTGAAGGTAAAATAAAGCAATTTTTACTCATTCATATTTTTTATGTGGAACGGAGCGTTTCTTTGAATTTCAGGGACTTTCTTAATAATGGCATTAACTACAACATATCCAAGACATGCTAATTTAGGCTCATCAGTTTGGTCATAAATTTACTGTGAAATTTTAATCACGTGTGTCCCAAAATTACCTATTATCGTTAATATTCGTTGCTATGGTGAATAACCGGATTTACTCTGGAAATCCAGCTTATTACCTGTATTAGATCTAATCATATGATTTGAAAAAATTTTGATCAGATAGAAATGGAATAAATTCATATAATAGTTAGCTTAAAAATTCCATATTTTAATATCCATTTTGTAGTAGAAACATTTAAGCAATGAGAGGAATGCATTTAGAGGAATGCATTGACTCGATGTGGAAAAAAAAAAACTTCAAATGAAATCCATAATTCTCCAGATAATTGCTGATAGGGTGTAGTCTATATTATATTAGTAGATACTGTGTGTATCATAACTCCCCAGATAATTGCTTACATTTCTGATAGGGTGTAGTCTATATTGTATTAGTAGATACTGTGTGTATCATAACTCTCCAGATAATTGCTTACATTGCTCAAGGGTGTAGTCTATATTGTATTAGTAGATACTAATACTGTGTGTATCATAACTCCCCAGATAATTGTTTACATTGCTGAAGGGTGTAGTCTATATTGTATTAGTACATACTGTGTGTATCATAACTCTCCAGATAATTGGTTACATTGCTGAAGGGTGTAGTCTATATTGTATTAGTAGATACTGTGTGTATCATAACTCTCCAGATAATTGCTTACATTGCTGAAGGGTGTAGTCTATAATGTATTTGTAGATACTGTGTGTATCATAACTCTCCAGTGGATACTAGTCAAATGAATGATCATAAATCTATAACCTTAACCCGGGAAAATTGATTGACAACCCTTTTCTCCTCCCCCCCCCCCCAACTTACTCACTAACACCTGTGCAGAGCTGAATTTTAAATTTTCACCAATATCAATGAGAATAAAATGGTCTACATGAAGTTGTACAGATGTCAGGCTTAGCAGGTTTTATACTGGGCTGTGTGTTGTACAGATGTCAGGCTTAGCAGGTTTTATACTGAACTGTGTGTTGTACAGATGTCAGGCTTAGCAGGTTTTATACTGAACTGTGTGTCGTACAGATGTCAGGCTTAGCAGGTTTTATACTGGGCTGTGTGATGTACAGATATCAGGCTTAGCAGGTTTTATACTGGGCTGTGTATGTATTTTGTGGGATAAAAACATATTCATTTAAGTTATTTTAGTATATATACATAAAGCTATAAAAGTCCTATGAATTGGCCGTGAAGTCCTGCTATAGATACAATTTCATAAACTTTGGTTTAAAACTGATGACATCTAAGAGGTTATGTTCAAATTTGTTTAGGTACCCTGTATTTGATTTTTGTAAAGGGAAATAATTACATTCAACTAACTAGAAACTTTTGTTCATATATAGTAACAGTCATAATTAAGCATCACAAACAGAGAGTGTTCTTGTGGAAAACTTGTCCTTGGTTATTTATCAGTTCTCTCTTTTTTCCTTCCACAGTTCTACAAAGAATCTCTTGCTAAATACCTGCACTTTTGATCCATTTGTGTTGACTTGAGCCCTCTCTGAGTTTAATATGAAGTCTTCATTTTATTGACACATTAAAGTAACCCACAAGATTTTGACCAGCCATGGAGAAGGACAAACAAGTAATTTTAGAGATTGATCCCCAAGAAGTGAGGGGTGTGGTTACTGCGGTGAAAGGTGCCATAGCCGCCCTATTTTATGGTGTCTGTTCGGTTACATCGGCCATTGTGTCAAAAGCCCTCATGGACACTTTAGAATTTGACTTTCCAGTTTTTATCATGGTTGCACAGATGATTTTTACGATAACTACTTTGGAAATACTCTGTTTCTTCAAGATCCTGGATCTGCCGCCCTACTCACTAAAGCGGGGACTGTCCTTTGCAGCCCCGGCTATTTTCTATGGAACCAATTCTGTTTTGGCGTTGACCGCTCTATCCCATATGAACATCGCCATGTATGGAGTCCTCAAGCGCTGTGTGCCTCTGTCTACTATGTTGCTGTCCCTAGTTATCCTGAAGACTGGGTTGCCCAACAGAGTCACCATGTATTCTGTCATTCTTCTGACCGTGGGATGCATTATTGCAGGTTTGTTAACATTCATTTGCTAATGTCACTTAAAGATGTGAGGAAAGCAGTTTTGTGTGTGTTAAAACTGCCTTATAAAATTACGACTACATTCACTGTAAGAACAAGAAAATCATTAAAAAATTATTAGCTTTTGTGCCGATTCAATAAGTATTTCCTAAAGGGAAAATGTTTGTTCATGTTCAAATAACCAACTGAACAGTGTAGATTGAAATCATCTCTATTAATTATAGTTAATTTTTTTTTTAATTTAGGGTGTCAGTTTGAAAAACAAATTTTGAACTTTCAAGTTAGTTACACTCATCAGAGAATGCATATTTTAGATTACAGATATTTAAACTAGTTTATATTAGGTTTTTTAAATAAAAGTATAGGTTAACAATTGCTAAATTATTTTTAACACTAATTATTCTCTTTGATGCGTTTAAAATTTACAAAGTCATTCTGTTATGTAATTCATGTAATAGCAAGACATGGTGGTCGTCGGGGATTCTTCCTAGTGAATGTCTGAATAATTTTAGAATTTGAATGGAAGGGTGAAAATGATTCTTCCAAGTTCAATAAATACTTGTTGAGATCTTGTTGAGATTTAAATGTTATTTTTATCCTTTTACATTTAATTTTGTTTTTATTAAACTTATTTTTCCAAGGTTCCTAAAAAAATTAAGTACAGAACAAAATCATGAAGTTCTGCTCATGCATAAATCTGCTTTTTCTAATTTTTTTCTAATTCTTGTGACATCCGCAGGCTACGGTGATTTAGGCTTCAACCTGACAGCTTACATTTGTGGCATAGGAAGTAACTTCACTCAGGCCTTGTATCTTCTGCTGGTGCAGAAATTTTCAGAACATCATGTATCAGTAGCAGAAACTCTCCAACTCAATAGTTTCAACACTCTGCCCCTGCTTTTATTAACAGCCGTACTAAATGGAGAGATCACCTCTATTTCACAGTACAAGCATTTTGGTGAATTTAATTTCCTAGCGATGTTTTTCTTTTCCATCAGTGTCGGCATGATGCTCAATTATTCATTGTTTCTTTGCACGAGTCTGACTAGTGCGCTGACCACAAGTGTTGTTGGTGGGCTTAAAGCTTTAGTCCAAACCATTATAGGCCTCTTCACCTTTGGTGGCATTTCGCACAACTGGGCAACCTACATTGGCATAACGATGAATTTAACCGGTGGCATAGCTTATATTTGGGCTCGTTACTCAGAAAACAAAGCACGCCCCAGAACAAGTCTCAAACATGTGATGAGTTTCTCGGCATCGAACAATGTTGGGGCGGGGCAGAAAAATGGATTTACTCATTCTGGTTCCACACAAGGGGATAATTCATCACAAAATTATAAAAATTCTATTTCCACAGATATACATAAATCTTAATGTTTATATTCCTTGAAGCGATCCAACATTTGTTTATATGTTGTTTTGACTATACATTGTAACGACAGATTAATTTATGTTCCATTTTTGTATTTGTTGATTTTTAAAAAAAAAAATGAATGTTCTATCAAGTACTTTTAAAAAAAAATTTATTATGGCAGCTGTAATTTAACTGGCAGGACTCCACCTATTTCTGCATAGACTGCCATGTTTCTAGTCCCATGCCACGTTGGCTGCAGGTTTGGCACTGACCACTCGAGGATGACAAGTTCTTCCAGAATAGCCATCTTACTTGACCGACACGTCCATTCCACTTAAACAACCCTGAGATACAATTTAAACTGTCGAGCCTTTTGCTTTGGTGTAGAGGCCAACTATCAAGAACTTGATGGAGCATAGATTTAAAAAAAAAAAAGACCAATTTGAAGTTGTACTGGTAAGTTACATAATTTTTGCTGTAGATTCAACCACAGGTGGCTACCCACATATCTAGAACCATGTGTAGATTCAGCCACACGTGGCAACCCACAAATCTAGAACTTGGTGTCGGTTCAACCACAGGTGGCAACCCTCATTTCTAGAACTCGGTGTCAGTTCAACCACAGGTGGCAACCCAAATTTCCAGAACTCGGTTGGATGTCACCTAAATTATTACAGTTTGACATCATTTAAATGTATTTCTTATGTTACACACTTAGTCGGTTTTGATGTTACAAATTATATGATAATATAATTAGTGATCTCTCAGCTGTAGTTATTTGGTGTGATGAAGATATTTTATTTTAATTTTGGGGTATAAAACTTTGTATCTTTTTCTAATACTTCTATCTTTGTTCAAATAGGGATCTGATCAACTTGATGGTTGTTTTATAATAAAATTGATCTTTTATCTATATCATCTTACTTAACATATTTGTAAAAAGATATGAATAATTCATGTAATTTTTATACAGATTTTAAAGTTTTAAACCTGTAGTGCTTCCTCCACACAATGAAACGTCCATTTTTAACCTTTTCAAGGTATTTAATGTTTTTTTTCAATGAGAAATCTAGTAAGACGACAAAGTCTTTTGACAAACTGAGTTGAACAAAGTTTTATTCATTAGATTTAGAAATGCTCATACATTTTGGCTTCACTTTTTTTAAAAACACAACTAAATCATAACTGTTGGAACAGATCTTACAATTCCATATTGTCTTATTTGCATATTAAAAGTTCCTGTAACTTATTGTATTTTAATGAAAATGAGTATGTGTATCGGTATGACATCCCAATATTAAATAGTACATCTATATGCGAAATATTCAGAAATTCTCCCCGTACTTATCAATGAGAATTTACACCACTGACCTCCATAAGCACCTATTTCAGTTAATTTTTAGGCAGCTATGACATAAACAGAAATTAAATCAAGTCTCTGTAAACTGTGTTCAAAATTATGTCGCTGGTTTTCTACACTACCTGATGTACTGAATACATTCTTTTGTTGAGTTGAACAAAACAATTATTTCACAAATTCTGTCACATGCACAGAAACACTCAACAGTGAACGGTTGGACTTAAGGTTAAAGTTGTCACCAAGCTAAATATAACTGCGAGTTGACTTCTGAAAGAGAAAACACAAAGCAACAGTATGACGATAATTATAAAACTTTGCAGTGATATTGTCTAACCTTTGAAAATAATGAGAAATTATTGTTTTCACATATTTTTAATTAACATAAGTCAACATTTAATTTAAATAGGCGATTTATGGACCATCAGAATTATTTGTGCAGAATCTGTGCCATATGCAAATCTCCAAAAATCAACAGCCACTTTCCCTCAGTGCATATGTTACATATGGCTGGGCCCTATGAAAATGACTAAATTCTGTGATGTCATTCCTCAGTTATTCCTTTGATTTACCATGTTAAAATTAAGCTACCTTATTAAAAAAGTTATTTATTATGCAATTATTAAATTATGCTTAAGTTGTGATCTGAAAACCTTCTTGCTTTCTGTTAAAATAATGTATATTAATAATTAATATACCAGGTATGTAATATTAATACCAGGTATATTACATTATGACATAATTTTACAACTTCACACTGCTGTGTCACTTGCTTTCAGAATTCCATTCAACATATTACCAAGTTTTTAAAATTTGTAATAATATAGTTTTAATTTTTAAGTATGATATAATTGTTCATGTTACTGGTGCATAACTTAAGGTCCCGTGCATTATTCTGTTGTTAAGTCAGGGATACCTGGTTTCTGTACATTCTCAATTTTGTATTGTATACATTGGTACTAGATTTGACATTCATTAATATATTATTAATTAATAAATTTAACAAGAACTGAAATAGACCCAGTTCATTAATTATAAACCTGCATAGACATTTCTTGTTTTGCAGGATGAAAATATTTTTGGAATTAAATTTATTAATAGGGACAATAAATACGTGCACTGAGATTGAAAGGGAACTGAGATGGAAATTAAAATGAAGTTTGCTCTGCTTCCTTTATTTAAGACGGAGAGATTTTTATTTGAAAAAAACTACACAACTTCAATTTCTTTCTGTTCTGCTTCTCAGTACATGCGAGTCCCTAACTATTTAGCAATTTTAAAATGTATCCTAATTGACCTGAAATGGGTAGAAAAGAAGTGGCTTCTTTGTCATCTGTATTGTAATTGTAGCCAACAAATTTGGGAACTTCAAATGCATTGAAAATGGTTTCCGCCATTTTTTTGTTTTAACTTAAAAGTTCTTTAAATAATATATTGTTAAAAATAAAAAATTAATTTTTTTAGCATTTTATATTGAAAGGGCTAGGGTTTGTTTCGTTAAAAATAGGATGCCAAGTTTTTTTACGAGTTTCCTTTCTTTACCTCAAATAATAGTAATACTAACTAATAATAATAATGGTCTAGTTCAGTGCTTCCCAACCTTTTTTGTGCCATGCTCCACCTAAGCCTTTCTAAAATTCCTTTGCCCCCATGTTATATATATATATACGTACACACACACACAATGTTTATATTCCAACGTCATTGAATTGAATCTTACCAAGTGAAAACTAAATGACAGGTTTTAGGAAGACGGACAAAGGATTTACCACCAAATTTTTAAGGAAACACAGCAAGTAAACATTTTTAAACCTATAATGGAGAACTGTCATTCAAGTGCAAGATGAAAGGAAAGATTTCTTACATTTTTAAAATTATTTATCATTTCATTATTTTATCATTTTAAGGCAGCCATGTGTCTTGCCCATAATATTAGGAGCACCATCTGAAGCACAAGATATTATTTTTTTATTGGTATATTATTGACATCTAAGTAATTTTTTAGCTCATTAAGATATCTTTGGCAGTAGTGGTGTTTTCTAATGATTTACAGAACATTTCTTCAGGAAAATCTCCTTTATCAATATATCTTAAGTAATTAGTATGGCTTGACTGTCTCTCAAAGTTGATTCATCCATTTCCACTGAGAATTTTTGTGTTTTCAGCTTTTCAACAAGTTGTATTTCAAAATCTTCACTCATTTCATCCATCTTTTTTTTTTTTTTACTTTAGCTGTCATAGCTTTCATGTCTTTGTCATTTTTTTTCCAAAACAGTTTTTTATGGTTTGATATATTTACGAGTAAAGAAATTTTCAAAGTTGATTCATCCATTTCCACTGAGAATTTTTGTGTTTTCAGCTTTTCAACAAGTTGTATTTCAAAATCTTCACTCATTTCATCCATCTTTTTTTTTTTTTTTACTTTAGCTGTCATAGCTTTCATGTCTTTGTCATTTTTTTTCCAAAACAGTTTTTGATGGTTTGATATAGCTACGAGTAAAGAAATTTCATAGGTAGCCTCAAGAGTACTATCGACAGTTGCAGTATGAGCAGTAAACAGAGATTTTAAGATTGTTATTTTTTCAATGCGCCTCAAGACGGTTGGTTTTTGAATTCTAGACAGCTAATTTTTTAATTACCCCCCTAAACAATCAAAGCCCCCCCTGTTGGGCTCAGGGCATGGGCCCCACATTGGGAAACACAGATCTAGTTACTCTATATAAAGAAAACTGAAGTACCGGTATTGTAATAAATAATAAGTGTATATTATTATTATTCCTCAAAAGATATTCCTCCAGGAAAATGAAAATGAGCTAAAAAAAAATTATTTGGACCATGATCAACTTAAACCTTAATTTTTTAAATAGCCGGTAGCTAATGTGTCAGATCCTCACTGGGTGTAACCAAGGAATAGAATGTACAATAATATGAGGTGAATTATATATACTTTGATTTTGATGAACATATGGGGGTCATGCACTTGTTAGTTCTTACAGTGTCTGGAACTTGTGGGGTCATGCACTTGTCAGTTCTTTCAGTGTCTGGAACTTGTGGGGTAATGCACTTGTCAGTTCTTTCAGTGTCTGGAACTTGTAGGGTAATGCACTTGTCAGTTCTTTCAGTGTCTGGAACTTGTAGGGTAATGCACTTGTCAGTTCTTTCAGTGTCTGGAACTTGTGGGGTAATGCACTTGTCAGTTCTTTCAGTGTCTGGAACTTGTGGGGTAAAGCACTTGTCAGTTCTTTCAGTGTCTGGAACTTGTGGGGTAATGCACTTGTCAGTTCTTTCAGTGTCTGGAACTTGTAGGGTAATGCACTTGTCAGTTCTTTCAGTGTCTGGAACTTGTGGGGTAATGCACTTGTCAGTTCTTTCAATGCGTGGAACTTGTGGAATTTACATAAGTTTAAGTGATGTGCAGTGCATGTGTAGATATATATACACACACACAAAATAAGCATGGGTAGTTTTAAGAGCATTAGATTTTTTCTCTAATTATTACAATGACAAGTCAGCTTTTGGCATGCCACAAATTATGATGTACTGGACTGTCTTTAAATGGGCTTGTTGAGCTAATCTGAAAGCAATGAAAGATTTTCTATAAACGCAATTGTGTTACAATTCAGAATAACTACTTCTTAACTTTCAAAATCAGATTTGTGATCCCTACTGAAAATCATTTTCTATATGGTTATAAATTTTAATAAGACTGAAACAATAATTTTATTAAGAGCTTTGAGACTTGTGGACTACTCCCTTTAATTTT